GAAAGAGTGGGGGCCCTCAGGATATAATAAGGAGACAGGAAGACCAGACTTGCTAATGGATTAAATTTGTGGTGTGAGTGAAAAGAGGAACGAAAAGCGACATGAATTTGAGATAGATATTAGATTTCCAAGTGCAGAAAGGAAGTATCCAGGTGACTATATGAGGATAAGGGAAGGTTTGGCCTGTAGACAGAAATTTGGGGGTCATCAGCATATAAATAGTATTGTTAAGGCCATGAAATTTAATGAAATTACACTGCTAACAAATGATAGAAATAGACAAAGATGAGGCTTTAAGCTTTCCAACTCTGAAGACTTTAGAAGATGCCCAGAGCATGGAGAAAGTCCATCCATCTGACACAACCAATGACTACAAAGGAAAGATGCCAACTAAAGTCTTGAAAAAATATCTGGGGGAAACAGGTTAAAATAAAGGACCCTCAGCTTCTCACCTCAAGTATAGTTATCCTATCCTATTGACTCTTTCTTCTCTAATTAATTCTGAAAGCAATAGCCAATGAACCTTCCCAAAGATTCAATATCATACTTAGAGACCACCACTGTGGTCAACATTCCCACCTTCTAGCTTGCTCTAATACATTCTCACATGGCCCACAGAAAGCCACCTGCACAGTGGACCAAATCTCCTTACCCCAGGATAAAAGGTGTTGCTGTATTAACTGGAAGAATTGTTGCATTTGACCAGGTAAAAGAAGTGAAAACAAGAGATGTGGAGAAAACAGGAACTGACATTGCCGAAGAGGAAGCAGAAGAAGAGGAAGTCTGGATGCTTCAAAGAAAATAATGTTCTACTGAACACTGAATCAAACCAAAAGAGAGAAAAAGAGGCACATCTTCCTTGAAACAGCAAGCAAGAGAGCCTTGCCAATGATTTAGGTATTTGTAATGACCTTCAGAGTTTTAGCCTTGTTAAACACACATGGAAGGGTCAACACTTCATGGCTAAGTACTTTACTTTCAAGGTCTCCCATCTTGCTGCTTCTCAGTTGAAAAGTACTAACACTGCATTTCATCTTCTACTCTCCATGGCTCTTTTCCAGGTTTGAAATTAAGGATTATATCTGCTTTGGTAGCCTGATAGCCTGTTCACGGGCAATGACAAAGACTTGGACACTTACAACTGGACTTGGTGGGGGACGTCTAGGAAGAGTACAGAATGTTTCAGGAATGGACACACTTTCACCTTGGCATATTAAAGATCTAATGAAGGTGAAAGCACGTTAATTTCCACCTGGGAACAGAAGAGGGTCTGAGAATCTATTGTCTATAAACTCAAATTCAGTATCTTGAGGCCCTTTGGAAGCTAGGGCAACTGAAAAAGTAAAGGCTATTATTGACTGTGTGCTCCAAAGGATAGGGCAATCATCTTTAACTAGTGTCACAGGTTACTAGAATTCTCCAACAACACATCCTGGTACAGGTTCTTCTGAGCAGAACCTAGTGGCTATCACTCCTCCCAGGTAAAGTCCACAGAAATATACTCAAATGATACTAATTCCTGTAGTTATCACACATTCTTCTTCCAATGTGTGGTGACCATTACTGATGAGAAAAAGACCTACAGGTATATGTTCTGGCTGTTTTCACTGTAAGTTACAAAGGCTATATCTCTGTGTCATAGTTCTCACTAGTCATTATGGAAAGAAGTAAAATGCCATTTTATCTATCTTGCAACTGAACACTTAATTATCAACTAATCCAGTAAATCAGAAGTTTTTGAAAGGCATATTCACTATATCCTGCAGGTAAAATATCCCTAAAACAGTAATCTCTGTAAAATATTTTTAACATATATTTAAAAGGTGGAGAAGAACTAAGTGCTCATATAAACACAGCAAAAATCTGTCCTCAAGGAGCTTTTATCCTGAACACTTTTCAACAGATAGAACAAACAATAGAATCAGATATGAAATGACTACACATGCAGGAATTATCAGCTCAGAATATTATGAATGTTTGTTTGTTTGTTTATTTATTTATTTATCTATCTATTTAGTGGTACGCGGGCCTCTCACTGTTGTGGCCTCTCCCGCTGCGGAGCACAGGCTCTGGACGCGCAGGCTCAGCGGCCATGGTTCACGGGCCCAGCTGCTCCGCGGCACGTGGGATCCTCCCAGACCAGGGCACAAACCCACGTCCCCTGCATCAGCAGGCAGACTCTCAACCACTGTGCCACCAGGGAAGCCCATGAATGTTTAATATAAAGCTTTAATATATTGAGAAATAAGATATCTAAAATATGGGGAAGGAATAAGATATTATTAAAATGACCATTTAGATATATATAAACCAGCAGAAAATTTTAAAAATAAAATACAGTCGATCCTCATTATTCGTGGATTTATTGTGAATTGACCTACCTGCTAAAATTTCTTTCTGACTCAAAATCAATAATCATGGCACTTTCATGAACATTTGCAGACATGCATAGAATAGTTTGAGCAATGAATAATTTGAGTTGCTCAATGTGTATGTTCCCAGTTAAGTCTGAACAAAATGATGTCCTGCCTTCTTATTTCAGCTCTGCTATTGTAAACAAGTGTCCTTTTCGTTGTCTACTTAGTGTCACGTTTTTCACATTTTTAAACTTTTTTTTTTGGTAATTTTGTTGTTTAAAATGGCCCCCAAGCACAGTGCTCAAGTACTGTCTAGTGTTTTTCAGTGCAAGAAGGCAGTGACGTACCTTATTGAGCAAATATATGTGTTAGATAAGCTTTGTTCCGGCAAGAGTTATAGTGAGTTTAATGTCAGTAAATGAATGATACATATTAAATAAGGTGTCTTTAAGCAGAAACACACATAAAACAAGGTTATCCATTGATTGACTGACACAAATGTTGTAACCAGCGGCTTGCAGAAACCTAGTCCATAATCCCCCTAGGAGCAATGTT